ATGACTTTTATAGGTGGTTTTCTCCCCAGTCCAGGATCCACTCAAGGTTAACCCATGGCTCTGTTGGTTGCTGGGTCTCTAGTTCGCCTCTCTTTTTAAAAGAGTGTCATTGAAATCTAATCCACGTGGCAGATAACTCAGCCACTTACAATGTGCGGTTCATTGGCGTTTAGCATGTTCAGAGTCGCGCAACCATTATTTCATAATCAGTTCCAGAACATTATTATCACTCGTCTCCAAAAGGATTCCCCAAGCCTTAGGCAACCTCGGATCTACTTCCCGTCTCTCTGGATCTCCTTATTCTGGACATTTAAAATAAGTGGGATCGTGCTATACATGGTCCTTCAGCTGACGCCTTTCATGACATGATGTTTTCAGGTTCATCCGTGTTGTGACACGAACTGTTTTATTCATTCCTCTTTAGGGCTGAGTAATAGTCCATCAAGTGGGTAAACCATTTCATGTATGTAATCACTTTAACCTCTTTCCATCTAGATGCAATCTGGCACAGTGACTGGCTAACTCCCCATCTGTCTGCCTGTGCATGAAGAATTGAGGTCAATTGTCTTGTAAAATGACCTGCATTCTTGAGCTACTCGTTTGTTTATGCTAGATGCAGGTTAAGCAGTTTGGGTGTGAATGCTATGTAGGGTATGTTGAATCCTTCTCCTTGCATTTTATCAGATGGTTACCGGAGTGTAAATTATCTCACACTCGCAGGTTATCTAATGTCTGCTTCGATGTGCCGGCTGCCAGACTTCTCTGTAGGGGCACATTTTCCCCCTTCTAACTGGTCAGTAATCTGTGCGGCACTAGCGTGAGGCCGTGTAGCCTGTTCCTAACCATCTTCTCACTCGGCGAGCTTCTGTGCTGATCGTGGCCCGAATCCCTTTTGACACTGGAGTTTACAAATGGTAGCTTTTTGATTTCTCGTCTTTTCATTTAGGTTTATTTATTTATTTTCTCCATGAGAAAGAGAAAAGGAACCAGAGAGACAGCACGCCTACCAGGGGTGCCATGGCATGATCTTCCCCGGTCTCAGACAGGGCTATGCACACATGCCCATTGTGCCCAGGGCGGCCCTGGGAAGAGAACCCGGGTCTTTTCCATGTAGGTCCCCTTGCATTACCGCTGCACCACCTCCTGGCACCTCTTGGAACTTTTTATTAGTGTTCTTCTATAAAGAAATGCCCCCTTCCCCATTGGAATTACTCAGTTGTAGTCATTATTCATGCCCAAACTGTCGCCATGGGGGCTGCAGGAGCTCCTTCGGGCTGTCTCTCCTGTCCCTGTGTTATATCTTCGTCATTCTTTGAACCTTTCTCACCTGCCAGCACAGTGAGGTGGTCCAGGTCTAGCCCGCATGTGGAATCAGCTCCACAGAGCCTGGACTCCCTTTAGAAACAGATTCCTACCAGGACCAGCAGGTGGCGTAATGGTTATGCTGCTGGATTCCCACATAGTCGATCATGGTTCGAGTCCCGGACCTGGCAACTTAAAACTCACACCAGGTGCATGTGTGTGCATGCCCAAAATCCCAAGAGGAGAATGGAGAAGGGAATATGGTGTGGCCATCCCCCCCGGGGGATGATTTCTTGCTTTCTGTCTCTCCAGCAAGCTTAAACACCAATAGAAAAAAAATCTCTCTGTAAAAAAACAAAGGAGAGAAATAATTCCTACCTACTAGGTGCTGTTGCTGTGATAAGATGCCCTTCCTTGTGGGTCCTTCAGTGGAGGGCCATGAGGTGTGTGCATGCATGATACGTATGTACGTGATGCATGTGTGACGTGAAGTAGGCGTGGTACACACAGCTCATTAGCAGCACACCCAGAGCCTCAGGCTTCCGTAGCCCTCTGGTTAGCGCTGGCTAAAGTTACACAGTTCACAGGGCAGAGAGCAGAGAAGGGGTTTTCACTCACGCTTAGAAGACCCACCTCAAAACCATGACTACGTTCGTATCCTGGCCCAGTTACAGGGGGAGGTGTGACCTCCATGTCCAGCCCCTTTCCACAGCCTGTGACACAGCGGTCCCCAAACCAATGTTGTGGATGATGGAAATCTATTCCCAACACCCCTGCAGAGACAAAAGAAAACAAGATGCCCTCCTAAGTCTCAAAATATTATTAGAGAGGTGGTGGGATCAGAGGGAGGAGTTAAGTCGTCCATGCCTCTGTTATTTTTTCTTAACTTTATTTATTATTGTTATTTTCCAGTTTGATCAGAGAGAGACGGAGAAAGGGAAAGTGAGAAAGCCAGCCACCAGGACTTGAACGACGGTCAGCCATGTAGGAGTCCAGTGCCTTTAACCACCACGCCACTTGCTGGCCCCAATTTTTAGTTTATTCACTCATTTATTCCACAAGAAAGAGAAACGGAGAGGGAGAGGCAGGCACCCCCCAGCAGGGTCTTCACGCCACGACCCACCCCCATCTCAGCCAGCCCAGATTATGGGCATTTGCATACCCAGCACACTCAGGGCACTCCCAGGACACGCACCGAGGACCTTGCCCGGGTGGGTCTAGCCATGTGGGTCTAGCTGTGCCACTATGTGGCCCTCTCCTCCTATTCAATAGTCATGTGCCCCTGGACAAATTCGTTTCTGCAAGCCCCAGTTTCGTGACCTGTAACACAGAGTCAATGACACTTCCTTGCCCGCGTGGGTCTAGCCGTGTTACAGCTGTGCCCCTGGACAAATTCGTTTCTGCAAGCCCCAGTTTCGTGACCTGTAACACAGAGTCAATGACACTTAGCTTGCTGAGACTGTAAGGATCGCACGAGATTCAGCATGCCACACACCGAGCCACGGGGCGTGCTGGAATGGACAAGCAGTCCGCAGACTGGAGCTCTTGCCGAGCCTCCTCCCCTGGGTTGACCCCTCATCCTGTTCCCACCCCAGCAGCAGCAGCAGCAGCAGCGATATGTAGACTTGCAGGCTGTTGCCACGGCTGCTGGACACGGCTGCCTCCCCGGTGGGCTGCCGGGGCACAGAGATGTAGTGATGCGTGTGCAGGGCCGGGGGACTCCTATGACCAGCAAGATTCAAACCAAAGCCTGCCCTCCCCCCTTGCTGGAGTAGAGTTGCTGGGCCAGGGAGCGCATGAGTGAATACTGTCCCCTCCCCTCCCCGCAGTGACTGGCACCTGGGACTCCAGCCGTGCAGCCTCTGTCTGCCTTCTTCCTGGTAGTACCATTTTGGCAAGTGCTGTTGGACAGAACCGATGACTTGGGTGGGTTCAGGGCGGGTCAGCTGGATGCCCTGATGTGTGGAAGATGCCTACGGAAGCTATAGTGGGTCACACGATGACGTTGCCCCGGAGCCTGTTGGTGTCAGTGGGCGAGCTGCGGTAAGCAGAGAGGCTCCTGGAGAAAACGGAGTGAGGGCTTCAGAGTCTGCACCAGAGAGGCTGGGAGGTCATGGGTGGGGCTCTTTTTCAGGCTGTTTTGGGCAAGGTCCTCAGTTATTCCTGATGCATCCCGAGGCTGAAGGGCCAGTGGTAACAGTCCATTTTACAGATGGCGAGACCGAGACTCCAGCACCTCAGATTCCTTGGCCAGGTCTCAGGAGTGGTCATTTCTTACCTGCGAGATGGATGATCTGTGAGGTTCTTCCCTGCTGGACACTCAGCGTATGGCTGTGGCTTTACTTTCCAGCCAGAGGAGGGCTGCCTTGGAGTCAGGCACTGAGGCCTCCTGCAGGGACTCAGCCCAGCTCCCCATTGGGCTCCACCGATGGGATCCCAGGGCAGGAGCTTGTTCTGCCAGGCAGTCCTGGGTGGTGCTGTGGGTTTCCTGGAGGCTCACCGGAGAGGCCTGTCCATGCAGTTTCTGACCTTTATCTATAAAGTGACAGCCACCTCTTTACCTTCCACCAGGGATAGAGCGAGGCTCTGCTCAAGCCCAGGGTACACCTAGAACGTTCACCCTCCGTGTCTGTGTCCCAGGTCATGGAGGGCTCAGGACATGCACTCAGGGCATCGCGGGTCCTGCTCAGGGGTTCCTAATGGAATTGTCACTACGATGACGAAGACCCAGAACGAACATGCTCTTTAAGGCCTTTATGACGAACGTTTTCAACTAGCAGTCCTTACATTTTTACTTATTTAAGTTTATTTCTTCTGAGAAAGAGAGAAAGAGAAAGACAAACACCCTCACCAGGGTTCCGACACCACAGCTCCCTCCTGGCTTGAGCCAGCCCCAGCTCAGGAGCTCTCAAGGAGGTCTCCATGTACGACCCCAGAACCTTCCCTTCCCCCAGGGCCAGCCTCGCCTATCATCGCCTTTCATCGCCGCACACCATCCGGCCCCTTCTTGGGGTTCTCTACCAGAGCAGTCCTGGGACGTGGGCAAGCTGCTGAGGACCTGTGGGCACTGGTTTCCTGGCTGGCAACAGGGGAGGCATCACAAGGCCCCTGACGGCTGAGTGGAGCCTGGCCTGGCTGAGCGGTTCTCCTGGCTCAGCGGGTTGGGAGAGTGGCACGTCGCCGAGGTGACAGCAGCGCCCTAGTGTACGCCCCGTGTATTTAGGGTTTGGTGTTTGGGACCTGGGTTTCCTACTCAGATGTCCTGTGCTGAGCCTAGTGCCAGGAGGTGGTGGCCTGCCATCTGCCTTAACTCTCTGCTCCCCGCTGGGTTCTGGATCAGGCGGCGAGCAGCCTGGGACCCGTTTGCCAGCAGAGGGCGGTGGAGGGGTTAACTCCCCAGATCACAGGCTGAGAGCAGAGGAGGGGAGACCTGGTTTGGAGCAATTTTCTCAGAGCCTGTGCAGAAGGCTTCCTCCAGCTCGCCGTCAGCCCGAGAGCTGGGCATGGGAGCCGTGTGGGGCCTCCTGCCTGCTGTGCCCCGAGTATGGTGACTTAGGAGTGGACGCAGCCTGAGCGTCCCAGAACTTCCCCAGCTCGGGGCTTTTAACCAGTCCCTCCACCCCCAGGCAGCCTGAATGGGGAGAAAAACGTCCAGCATGGAGACCAGCTTTGACGATGTCTCTTGCCTCTCTCCCCAGAACCTGGGATCCTCGTCACCAGGCAAAAAGCAGAGCAAGGAAAACACCATCACAGTAAGTGGCTGACGCGGGGCGCTCCCAGTTGGGGTGGAGAGCTGGGGCCTTCGGCTGGGCAGTTGCCATGGCGATGTGGACCGCCAAGCAGAAGCGATGCCCAGCCTGGAAACGGGGAAGTTCCGAAGCTGGATTTAGCCCAAGTTCCCACCCTCCCCTCGGCTGCTGGTCTCTCGTCTCCTTCTCTCCCAGTGAGGGAGCAGAAGCGAGGCGGCGGGATGATGCAGAAGCCATCTTCGCAGGGCGGGCAGGAGAAGGTACTCCCACGGGAGCGGGTAGAAGGGGGTGGACCGTGCGCTGTGTGAGTGTGTGACATGCAAATTACAGCCACGGCAGGGTGGCTTTTGTGCAGGGGAACTTCTGGGAGATGTCGAAGTTGAAAGCCAGAGAGAGCTTCCTAAGAATAGAGTTCCTGGGAGTTCCTGATGGGAAGCAGGCAGCTTCTGCCCAGAGCGGCCAGCCCGCCTCCAAGGCTCTTCCAAAAGCCCGCCAAGTGCCCATGCGGAGGCTGAGGGGAGCCCCGGCCTCCCGCCCCCAGTCTATCCCTACCTCGACCTCGGCCTCGTGCTCAGAGAAGAGGTGGGAGCTGGACATCAGTGCTCCCTCCAAGTGGGGAAGTGGGCAAGCAGCCCCAAACTGGGAGACGGGATGAAAGCATGGCCCTAGCTTTGCAACTGTGGTTCCAGTACACGGGCGCCGGGAACGGAGAAGGGTTCTCCCAGTTCCATGTGGCAGGGTTCTGAGCCGTCCTGACCACCCCCACAGAGAGAAAGCTGAGAGGGCTGCATTCCCCTGGCTCAGCCAGGCTGGGCGTCCTGGAGGAGGAAGGGGGTCAGGCAAATAATGCCACAGTCTTGATGACTGCCACTCCCGTGTGCACTGAGTAGGCATCGCAGCGTCCCATGGAAGGCAGAGCAGTGGAACCAATGTAGTAAGCCGATTGCGACCCGGACTCTGGAGCCAGAGTGTCTGATACACTGACTCCTAGCTGGGCCCCTCTGGGGTGAGTTTCTCAATGCCTTTGGGTCTCAGTATCTCGTGGTGGGTGTCTCTGCCATAGGGACGGAGTAAGGACTACTGAGGTCCACGCATGTGCAGCACTCAGGCCAGAGCCCGGCACATGGTACATCCAGGCCACACGTGTTAGCATCACCTGCTTACAGACGAGGAAGCCGAGGGGCAGAGTGGTACCTTGCCAGAGGTTGCCCAGACAGGCTGCATCAGGATTCGAACCTATGCTCTTAGAGCTTCAGCTAAATCCAGGCGCTCCTGCTGGAGCTGGCGTGGCTCAGGCCATCAGCTCCTCACAACCTCCTGGTGCCAGGGGGCTTTGCTCCCAAGGGCTGGGCACAGCTCGGCCTGCTTAGACCTTGCTGTTCATGGTGGAGCTGATGGAGCTCAGGCACAGGCTTCTGGGGGGCACAGTCCCCACCTCTGGGCTGGCACAAATACCCCAGAGTGCTGGGGCAAAGCAGGAGCCCCCCAAAAGTTTCCTGACATAGGAGAAAAGGAGGGGAGGCATGGGAGCAGGAGGGACATACTGGAATTCCAGGGAAAAAACAAACAGGAGAAATGCAAAGTACAACTCAGAGTCGTGCTGCCAAAGTTGCCTTAAAGGCCTGCAGTGCGGGGCCAGCCGGGGGTATGGTAGTTAAGACAACCGGATCCCACATCACCGACTGTGGTTCGAGTCCCCAACCCAGTGGCTTAAAAAAAAAAAGGGCCGCATGTGTGTACATGCCCAAAATCCCAAAAGGAGAAGGGAGAAGGGAGTGCCAGTGTGGCCTTGCCCCCAGGGAGTGATTTCTCACTTTCTCATTTTCTCTCTCTCTGGTGAGTGCATGCCCTATAGCAAATTAAAACAAACAAAAACAAAAAGTTTATAGTGAGGATGCCCAGGCCACATGGTGAAGGGGCTGCTGGGCCCCTCTTAGCCAGGGCATCAGGGTCTGTGAGGTGACTGAGCCTAGCCCTGGTTCTGTGCAAGGCCGTCTCTCTCAGCAGCTTCCCTGCCCCTCCCCCGGCCACATGCGTGTTTTTCAGGAGGTGGCCTGCAAAGTGCAGTCAGTGTCTAGAGCTTCCGGGACCCCTGTTTCGAATGCACATTCCTGGACGGAACCCCAGACCTATACTGGGTCTCCTGGGGACCAAGCTGGAAAATCTGCATTTTAGCCAATACCCGCAAAGGTTGTTTTGTGAGAGGTTTTTGCTATAGGGCATGTGCGCTCGCCAGAAAAACAGAGAGAGAGAGACAGAAAGTGAGAAATCACCCCCCGGGGGGATGGCCACGCCACAATCCCTTCTCCTCCATTCTCCTCTTAGGATCTTGGGCATGCACACACACGCGCCCCGTGTGAATTTAAGCCACCGGGTCCAAGACTCAAACCATGGTCGACTACATGGGAGTCCAGCGGCATAGCCATTATGCTAACTGCTGGTCCCACCCCCAAAGGTTTCAAATAAATACTTACACCTTGGAGAGTTTTTCTCGGGAAATTGAGCAAGGGAGGGACTGGCCAAAGGTGAGGACAGGGCAAGGGTAAGAGCCATGGCCCAGGAGTTAGACACTGGTGCCAGACCCTGCTCTGCCTCTTTTTTTTCTTAAAGGTTTTTGCCATAGGACGTAGGCAGAGAGAGACAGAGAGAGAGAGACAGAGAGAGAGAGAGAGGAAAAGTGAGAACCATCCCCCAGGGGGAATGACCATGCTGCAGTCTCTTCTCTGTTCTCCTCTCTGGATCTTGGGCACACACGCACACATGCCTGGTATGATTTTCAAGCTAATGGGTGTGGGACTTGAACAGGCTGTCAGCCATATAGGAGTCCACTGCCTTCACCACCAAGCCACTGCTGGCCCCTGCTCTGCCTCTTTTTAGCTGCATGATAGAGGGCTAGGGGTTAGCCACTCTGGGCCTCAGTTTCCTCATCTGAGCAAGTGAGGGCCAGAGCCCAGGCCACTTCCCAGGGCAGCCCCTGGCCCTGCAATTCTCAGGCAGGTGGGCTTCCCAGCAGCTGGCAGGATGAAGATTTCCTTGTGCTCCTCTTTCTCTCTGGGCTCAGATCCTCTGAGCTCAGGTTTCCCTTCAGAGGGAGGGGCTCGCCCTGCTCCAGGAAGGGGCGAGGGGAGGGTGGGACAGGAGCTTCGCTGCCTGGCGTGTTGGGAGGAAGTGAGCTACCTTCTGTGCTGTCTGATCCCACCTGGCCTGAGAGCAAAGGGTGGTGAGTGCAGGGCCGAGGAACAAGGCCGAGCTTGATTCTGAGGTCCCCGCCTCCCCTCCCGTGGCCTGGAGCTAGTTCGGAAGGGGCAGACATGTGAACTACTGACAGCAGCGGGCGGGGGCTCACAGCCTGGCCCGGGCTCGTCCCTGCTGCCACCTGTGCTGGGCTGGCAGGTGGAGTGGGCTGTTTGATTGGAGTGACGGGCGCTGGCGGCCGCTCACAGCCCTGGGCCCGAGCACGAAATCACATGGTCACGCTCTCTCCTGGAAAGAGGACGGTGGGGACTCCCTGGTCCTCGGCCCCCACTTCCCAACACATGCTGTGTGAAGTCCCGAAACCCTGGGAGGAGCAGACTGACTGGAGATGAGCCATGGGGTCATTTCTTCTGTGCCTCCCTCTCCCACCCGCGTCCAGGTCAGCCTCCCTGCAGGGGAAAATCCAGGACTCTGGCTGGTTGGTCGTCAACCCCTTTCCTTTCTTGCGGCCTGCAGGCCAGCTGGACGGCGGGCACGGAGGCCCTGGCCTCTGCCCCAGCACGGCCTCCGTGTTCAGCACATGCATTTGGTGCTGTTCACAAAGTGGCAAGGGGCTACCCCGGAGAGACCCTCTAGAGTGTTCTAGGGGCAGCCCTGTGGCTGGCCGCCCCTGGGCAGAATGGCCTGGCAGGAGCCTCAGCTGCTCAGCGGCAACCCACAGGTGAGGTGGGGGCGTTACTCCACGTTCCACGTTCCACGTTCCGAGGGTTGGCGGGATCAGAGCACAGATGCAGTGGGCTGAGGCTGGGGCTCTCAGGGCAGGGGCAGGGGCTGTTGGAACTACCCTACCTGGTACACATCAGCTCCCTGCTGAGCCCTGCTTCCTACCTGAGCCCCTGCTATGGGTGGGGCCTTGGCATATTTGTGTCTCCGTGAGTTTTAAAGACAGCGGTGTGACAGAAGTGAAGAGCTTAGACTCTGGAGCTGGATTGCTTGGGCTTAGACCCTGGCTCCAACATTACACACAAGCTGTGTGATCTCGCACAGGTTAATTACCCTCTCTGTCCTCAGCTTCCTCACCTGTAAAACGGGGTCAACAATAGCACCATTGCAAGTGGCTGTGCAGATCAGACGCCTTATCCTGTGCAAGGCACTTAGGGCACATCCGACACGTTGTGAGCTGCTGTCGAGTAGAATCTGGTGCCTTACACTGTCCTCCATATTGGCAGGCCAGGCAGTGGAACTGAGGTCTTTGCTGTGCCCAAATAACCTCGGAGGAGGACCAGTCCCTCCTAGAGCTGCTGGATCGTGGTATTGGCCACCTGGAAAATGTCACCCAGGAGGGGACAGGAAGTCACTTATGGAGAAAGTCTTGTCCCACCTTCTCATCCCTCCTTGGACTTCAGAGCCTTGCTGGGTTGGAGCCACGTGGTCCTCCCAGACCTCCTGATCTGGGGCACAGGAGGCTTGACTTTGAGGCCTGCAGGTGGCACCGGGCAGGGCAGGGGAGAGCAGTGGCCCAGGACTTAGGCGTCGCGCCAGACCCTGCTCTGCCTTTTTTTAGCTGCATGATGGTGGGCCAGGACTTAGCTGCTCCGTGCTTCAGTTTCCTGGTCTGTGCATGAGTTTCCACCAGGCTGCCACAGATAAGCATTTGAGCTCTGATGGCTTGTGGACTTCAGCACATCGCACAGTTGCCACCATCTGCCTCTCCTGCCACCACCTCCCTCTCTCTGGAGCCACTGCTCTTCCCCCGTTCCTCATCCCAGTGGACGGAAGTGCTGCCCTTCACCCAGGCCAGCAACTCAGGGCTGTCAGCCTCAGCATGAATGACGTGCTGGGCAAGGTGGCTTTGTCAAGGGGCTGCCCTGTCCATGACAGGTGCCAATCAGCGTCCCTGGGTTTTAGCCACCAGATGCCAGTCGGACTCCCCCCACCTCCACCCACTTATGACAACCAGTTGTGACACCATGGGGTGGAGGGTGGGCATAGAATCGCGCTTGGATATGAGTCACTGAAACAACCTCACGGTGCCATTAAGTCCGCCTGGAGAATACCCAGCAGATGGTGTAATGGCTACGTCGCTGGACTCCCACATAGTCGGCTGCAGTTTGAGTCTGGGACTCTGCGGCTTAAACTCACTCCGGGCGCGTGTGCGTGCGTGCCCAAGACTCTGAGAGAAGAATAGAAGAGAAAGGATTGTGGTGTGGCCATCCACCTTGAGGGGTGATTTCTCACTGTCTACCTCTGTCTCTCCAGTGAGTACATGTGTCCTATAGCAAAAATCTCTCTCAAAAAATAAATAAATAAACCAGGTTCTACTTACCCCTCATCACTAAGCTGTTCTGAGCTACCATCCCAGCTCCCCCAAGCCACCACCCCAGCTTCCCCAGGTCACCGCCAAGCTCTCCCAGTGACAACAGTCGTGTTCTCCTAATGTGTCCTCCAAACTGCACCTGGAAATGCTCACCGTGGGGACAGTCCGACCACTGCACTCTACCAGACGCTTCTGTGGCTCCCACCGCCCTCAGGACAGACAGCGGCAAGGCCACTCGGCTCAGCTGGTGCCCTCCCTGGCTCAGCCGTAGCGGAGCTGAGCAACAGGCCCATGGCTGCAGTGTGTGCTCAACCAGGCCCTCTTCTCCCTGCAGTTCCCCTCACCTTCCCACCTCTCAGTCTGCCTAGGTCCTCCTCTTACTCATGCCCACTAAGATATCCCCCTGAGTCCCCGGCAGTTCCCAAAGCCTCAGCACCCCTTTGCCCACGCTGGTGGTCAGTTTATCCCAAAGCATCACGGTGAGCTGGCTGTCTATCAGCCACTGAGGGTGGAGCCTGGACCTTAAACTTGTCCGCCATCACGACCTGAGTGCCCACTGTGTGGGTGACAGGAAAACAGCAGGACGATGTCTTTCTCTCCTTGTGGAACAGACTGTCAGCAGGAGAGCTGTTAAAGAAGCCATCAGGGGAAATACCACTACAGACACACGCGTCCAGGTTGCTGGGAGACCTAGCGCAGTTCGAGGCAGCGGCATCAGTCAACATCCGGGGCTGGGAAGTGCAGGGCAGCTGGTGCACCCTCAGCGTCCTGGTGGAGGGCTTGAATGCAGGGTCGGCCCCGTCTGGATTCACATACTGAAACCTCGATGGTCCTCGGTCTCCTCATGTGCAATGAGGCTCGTGTTCCCTGCTCTGGGCTGCTGGGAGGTGAAATGAGGACGCATGAGGAGCTTTTGGCTGATGGCCTGAGTACAAAACCCGCCAATGATACAACCAGCTGCCCCCTACAGACTGGTGGGGTGCAGTTCTCCCCACCCCCACCAGGGGGCGCAGGGTTCTGTGCGGATTCGAGGAAAGGGCTGTGGGCTAGCTGGCAGTCAGAAATCCCTAAACCAGAGCTGACAGGGACAGCGACAGATAGCCTGGGGCCCCTGGTCAGCCCATCTGAGGACTGCTGTCCTCACAGAGTGGTAGAAACACAGGAGGAATGTCCTCACGTCCCCATGCCTCCTGCCCTCCCTCATCTCCTCCCCACCAGCTCACCTTCTTTGGGTGGTTTACTCCTGGGGCGCTGGTGGGACCTCTCACCTTCTAGACCTCTGTCCCATCTAGCCCTCGAAGTAGGCGCCTCTCTGGAAAGCCACGGAGGATCTTAGGAGCAGGGCTCGGTAGCTCGTTCATCCGGGTCTTCCACTGTGGCAGGCATAAGGTCTTCTTGGGATGGGGTGGGGGGGGGCAGTGCCTCTGCTACACGGGTCATGATGCTGGTTCTTAGAGTGCAGTCCCCAACCCAGCACCATCCCAGGCCAGGACACCGGAGTCCAGGGCACCACCCAGGCCTCGTGGATCAGAAACTCTGGGAGTGGGATCCAGTGGTCCGTTCTAACAAACCCTCCAGATGAGCCTGAGGCAGGGGGCAGGACGCAGGGGGAAGAGTGGTGGGATCTGGAGAGAGGGCCGGGGAGGACAGTGGCAGCTGGGTGATGTGCTGAAGTCCACGAGCAACCAGAGCGGAAGTGCTCACCTGCAGTGGCCTGCTATGAACTCATGCCCAGGTGGGGAAACTGAGGCAGAGCGCCTATCACACAACGTGCTGTCATGCAGCTAAAAAGAGGCAGAGCGGGGTCTCACACAGTTCACTACTCTAACCCGTGTCCTGTGCGTATGTGGCCTACAGGCCTCAAAGTCAAGTTCGCTGTGACCTAGTGGTTAAAGGAATCAGTGGTGCAGGTCAGGGCCCGGTTCTGGCGACTGGAACTGGTCAGAGTCCGGTTCTGGCAACTGGAACTGGTCAGGGTCCGGTTCTGGCAACTGGAACTGGTCAGGGCCTGGTTCTGGCAGGTGCATGTGCATGCCCCAAATCTCAACAGGGTGGGGAAATGGAGAAGGGATTGCATGTGGCCATACCCCATACGGGGTGCTTTCTCCTCCCTCTCTCCCACTCTCCCACTCTGTGTCTCTCTCTGGCAAGCATAGGCACTCTCAGAGAGAGAGAGAGAGTGTGTCCGGTCCTGCGCCCATGGAGGAAACTAACAAGCAGCCTCACAGGAGAGGGGGATCTGAGGCTCGAAGCCATACTAGTGGAGCAGTGGGGAGGCCGGGAAGCACCACAAGCATGCTTGGGAGAAAAGCCTACGACAACCCGGAGCGTTCAGCACTGTGGTCTCCTCGGTTAGGACCAGCCCTGAGTATGTGCCCGGATCGCAGTTTTAGGCTGCATTTGTCCAAATAACGCAGAAGACGAGGTCATACTTATGAGGTCACCTGTCATGCCAGGCCCTCACCCTCACAGTCCCTCCCTTGGAATCAAGTCATGTTATCTGCTTCTAGTACTCTTCACTGGCTTTCGTGCGTACTGCTTAATGGACGGAGTTTCGGTTGTGCAGGATGAAAACGCTGAGGCAGGTGGTGGTGATACATGACACTTCGAGCATACTTAATGCCACGGAACGGTGCCCTCGGAAATGGTGCAGAAACCAGTAGATGGCATAATGGTTATGTTGCTGGACTCCTACATAGTTGACCACGGTTCAAGTCCCAGACTTAGCTGCTTAAAATTCATGCCAGGCACATGTGTGTGTATGCCCAAGATCCCGAGAGGAGAATGAAGGATTACCGTGTGACCAGCTTCCCTGGGGGATGATTTCTCACTTTCTGTCTCTCTCTGTCTCTCCATCGAGTGCATGTGTCCCATTACAAAAATCTCTCTTAAAAAATAAATGTGCATATACCCTCATCTTTTTTTTAAATCAAATAGTTATGTACTATAGCTATTCTTTGACTTTTCCTTTTTTAAATAAAATGTAAGGTTTTTCCTATAGGGCATGTGCACTTGCTGCAGAGAGAGAGAGAGAGAGAGAGAGGGAAAGTGAGAAATCCCCCCCAGGGGGGAATGGCCATACTGCAATCGACTGCCCTCCGTTATCCTCTTGCGATGGTGTGCATGCATGCACACACACGGCATGTGTGCCACTGGATCTGAGACTTGAACTACAGTCGGCCACGTGGGAGTCTAGCACCTTAACCACCATGCCACCTGCTGGTCCCTCACTTTGCCTTTTTTGCCGCTTTCACTTAACAGTATATCCTGGTACACGCTGTGTATGCATAAGAACTTCTCAGCGCATCCTCTGCTGCTGACACCACTTCCATAGGTGTCTGTGCTCACGCCTCCTTTAGCCATTTCTCTGCCGACGGACACGGAGCTGTGGTTCAGCCTTCTGCTACTCAGACAGGCTGCTGTGAATACGCATGTGCGTCGCCACTGCACACGTATGCAAATGTGCCTGCAGGGGAGACTCTCAGAAGGATCTAGATGCTTGTGATGGTCTCTGCCGCTGAATGGTGACCTTGGGCAAATACTTGGGCTCCTTGGGCCCTACCCCTCCTGTCTCAATCCTGAGGCCATTGGATCCAGGATCTGTAGAGAGCCCCAGCTTTGGTAATTCTGCGGTTCCCGAACTTTCGCACCTTGTTTAATGGGCAGCATTTCAGATGTGCAAAGTACAACAAGCTCTGTGGGGGGCGGGGTAATGGAGGTCCTTCATGGCACAGGGGTCCTGGGAGGCTCCAGCGGCCAGCACTTCAAATAAGGGGCGAGGGGCACTAGACCCTGCCCAGGGAAAGTGTCTGGTGAGCTGGCCCTGAAGGGAGGCCTCCGTGCTCTCTGTGCAGAGCGGGCCTTCCCACGTCTCCTCCTGCAGCGGGGTGATCGTCTCATTCCTCTGTGCCCTACAGATAAACTGCGTGACCTTCCCTCACCCAGACACAATGCCTGAACAGCAGCTGCTCAAGCCAACCGAGTGGAGCTACTGTGACTACTTCTGGGTAAGCAGAGCCACCGAGTCCCACCCTGGTGTCCCCGATGGACAGCAGAGAGCACCTGGGAGGGAAGAGGGCATCTTGAGCTCAAAGCTGAGGGGTCTGTCCTGTTGAAGCCTACAAGGCTGATGGTGGATTCAGCATCTGAGGCAAGAACTTAGATCCTCTTGGAGTCCAGATCAATCCACCCATCTCAGGGAGTCAGTTGGGTTTTGGTTCACAACCAGAATGCAGGTGAGTGGGCGGGTCATGGCCTTTGATGCTCAGTGAAGGCAGGAGACAAGAATCAGTTTCAATAAGAGACTTTGGGCCCCAGACCTACTCTGCCATCGATGTGGTGGCCCTGGATGAGCATTTCAGTCCTTGGGCCTCACTGTTCCTGTTAAAATCGTGAGGCAGTTAGATGCAAGGATCCATAGGGAGCTCCTGCTTTAATAGTTCTGTGTCCCAGAACTTTTATTTTAAAGAATTATTTATTTAATTTTATTTATTCATTTATTTAAATTTGACCGGAGAGAAAAAGAGAGAAAGTGAGAAAGCAAGCCGCTAGGTCTGGGACTTGAACCATGGTTGGCCATGTGGGAGTCCAGTGTCCTTAACCACCATGCCACCTGTTGGTTCCCGTGTTCCAGAACTTTTGCATGTTGTTCAATGGACAGAATTTTGGTTTTGCAAGATAACGAACATTCTGTGGTGGATATACTTAATGCTACTGAACTGACCGCTTAAAAAATGGTAAAAATGGTAAATCTTACAGTATGTGTGTCTCGCCATAACTAAAGCAGTTAGGAGAGCCAGATCCCTCATGGCCAGCTGCAGCTCCAGCCCAGAACCGTGGAAAGCACATGAAGTACACGTATGTGTGTGTCCTCGAATCCCAGCAGGATGGAGAGATGGGGGAGATGGCACCGCAGTGTGACCACACCCCACTAGGCAGTGTCTTCTCCCTGTCTCCTTCTCTGTCTCCCTGTCACTCTCTTCCAAGTACACACATTTTCTAGAAATTAAAAAGTAAATGAATCTAAAAAAATAAAGGCAGCAGTAACTTTCAGAATGTCAGTCCTCTCATTCTGGAATCAGAGAGTGGTTATGCTTGCACAATCTTGTGACTGCATCGAAAACCACCAAACTATACTCTCTTAAAAGAAAGGTAGAGTGAGAGCAGCCGGCGGCATGATGGTTACATCGCTGGACTCCCACGTGGCCGATCACAGTTCGAGTCCTGGACCCAGCAGCTTGAAACTCATGCTGGGCATGTGTGTGCATGTGCCCAAGATCCCGAGAGAAGGAAGGAGGAGAAGGGATAATGGCATGGCCATCCCCTATGGGGTGACTCCTCGCTTTCTGTCCCTGTGTCTCTCTGGCAAGCACACATTCCCTATAGCAAAACTCTCTCAAAATAAATAAATAAATAAAAACTTGTTTCCCCATGGTGCAAAATGGATTATCTGCCTTTTCTTAGATGTGATGAGTACTAGATTAAAGTGCTTTTCCTTCCTACCAAACCTTCACCCTTTAGGAGACATCCAAAGATTCCCGTTACACCAGGAGAGACAATTATTTTCTTTCTTTCTTTTTTTTTTTTTAAAGAATTATTTATTATTACTTTTTCCAATGTGCTGTATGGCACATGTGCTCACCAGAGAGAGACAGAGAGAAGGGAAGTGAGAAAGCAAGCTGCCAGGTCTGGGACTTGAACTGCGGTTGGCCATGTGGGAGTCCAGCATGTTAATGACCATGCCACCTGCTGGCCCCGGAGTGACACTTCTTCCTGTTCCAGGATGGAGACCTGTGCAGAAGGAGCGAAGCATTAAAGATAAGGCTTAGGCTGAGAAGGTGACAGACCTGGGGAGGTGAGCTGAGGTGGGTGGAGCAGGGAGCAGAGTACACAGGACGTTGTAGGCCCCAGTAAATGTGCTAGGTTTTATTCTGTTTGCAGTTAGAGACACTGGGAGGATTTTCAGTAGAAATACTAAGGAACTAGGACAAGCAAATGACATAATGGTTACGTCATTGGACTCCCATGTACTCGACCATGGTTTGAGTCCTGGACCCAGTGGCCGGGTGCAGGTGCATGCCAAAACTAGGAGGAGAATGAAAGAGAAGGGATTGAGGTATGGACATCTCCCCTGGTGGGCGGTGATTTCTCATTTTATTTTTTTAATTTTTTTTTTTTGAGAGGTTTTTGCTATAGGGCGCGTGCGCTCACCAGACAGACAGAGAGAGACAGAGAGACAGAAAGCAAGAAGTCACCCCCCACGGGGATGGTCACACTGCAATTCCTTCTCCTCCGTTCTCCTCTCGGGATCTTGGGCACACGCGCCTGGCGTGAGTTTTAAGCCACCGGGTCAGGTACGCGAACCGTGGTCAACTATGTGGGAGTCCAGCGACATAGCCATTATGCTAACTGCTGGTCCCTCCGATTTCTCACTTTCTGTCTCTCTGTCTCTCCAGCAAGTGCACGTGCCCTATAGCAAAAATCTCTCAAAAAAATAAAGTGTGAGTTTATTTGTGTGCAAGGAAATTTGAAATCTATGCATCGTTTTTTCACAATTTGCATTTTCCATTAACTCTCTGAAGACCCCGCATATGACGTGGTCTGATTTATATGCATTGTGCAAGCTGAGAGGTGAGTGAAGACCAGCAAGGTTGGCGGCAACAGCAGAGAAGGAGGGTTGTTGCTGGCATTGGAAACATGAGCCCTAATGAGAGGGCATTTAAGGGAGAGTGGGTCAAGCCAAGAACTGGGCACCCCGGGAGCTGGACGTCAGTGAGAGAGGGATTCTGGGGGTCTCAGGAAGCTGGAGGAAGCCCGCAGTCCTGCCTGCTGTTGGGAGCAGCCGGGAGAGCACCGCGTGTGAGTTCTCTTCATCCTCCTCTGAGCTCAAGCTCTCTGGGGCCTCTGGCACTAACCCAGGGTTTTTGTCTCCCTCATCATCAAGGTCTCTCCGCTAACAGACTTTTCTCTGTGCTTTAATGGTGTCCTGAAAGCCCATTCCCTCTGGCTGCTTTTCCAGCCCAGAAGGGAGGCAGATTTGGACCCAGTATTTTGGATAATTTTTATTTTACTCGTTCAACAAGATGTAGCATCCATCGAGTGACATGCCCAAATCCTCCATGTACAGGAGAAACCTTTAGACAGCAAGAGCAGCCCCACCTTCTGTGGTGGTGAGCTCCCCGTCATGAGAGGTATGAGCAGTGTGGACACAGGGCCTTGGGTCAGGGTGGCCACGGAATGGATCCTGCATTGGGCAGAACTAAGGGTGCCCGTAATCGCCTCTCTCTGCTTGATGTCGGTGGATGGGGTTCTCCGCAGATGTCAACAACCTCCTTCCCTTCCCTCTTCCGCAATATCTCATCTGGGAGAGATCTTAGCGATGTGGCCCATTCTCTAGAAAGGGGTGAGATAGGGTGCACAGACTCGACCATGTCACCTTGTGGCCGAGCTGAGGCGAGAACCCGGGTCTTTCTGGATATTTGGCCAGTATTCACCCTGAGATGCCTGTGATGTCAAAACCCATTGGAAACTCCTTCCATGAAGCAGCAGAGCCACTGACCCGGGACCGAGGAAAGGCAATGGAAGAGGGCCCTCGAGGGCACGGTGACAGCCAAGGGCCTGGATGGCTCTGGTGCTGATTGTCAGCAGTCACGGCCACGTGGCCAGAGACCTGGATGAATGACGGCAGGGGAAGGTCAGGAAAGGGGTATTCAGATGTGCTTGAGAAAGTTTCGGGAAACAGTCTAATTTTGAAAGCTTCAGAATATTTACTTGCAAAATTAATTGGTCCTCAGTTCCCCTCTCATTGATGTGGTGGTCGTCCCTAGTCCTGGCTCGTGTGTAATAGAAACTAATAATCAAGGTCACTGACGGCGTGCTGCCGGGTCGAGCCCTGTGCTGTACCATCTACGCCTGGCATTTTTCCGAAATGACCATGTGAAGCATGGCTGCCATTATGCCCCTGTGGAAGAAGCGCAGGCCTGGAGTGAACAAAGAAATTGCCCGAGGTGGGGCCAGCAGGTGGTATGGTGGTTAAGGACGCTGGACTCCCACATGACCCACCACGGTTCAAGTCCCAGACCTGGCAGCTTGCTTTATCACCCCCTCCTTAGTTACTCTAAAGTAAGCAAATAAATAAAGTTAAATAAAAATAGTTATTAAAGAAAAGTTTCATCTTAAAAATAAAAAAAGAAAGAAATTGCCCAAGGTCACCTGGTTGGAATTTCAGTCCTTTTGTTTTTTCACTTTAAAAAATTTGCTACAGGGCAAATGTACTCACTGGAGAGAGAGGGAGAGACAGAGAAGAGACAAGAGACAGAAAGTAAGAAAGCACCTGCTCGAGGGATGGCCACCCTGCAGTCCCTTCTCCTTTCTCCCCTTGGGATCTTTGGGCACGCACACACAGGCACCCCGTGTTCTCTGAGCTGCCGCGAGCTGCCGTGTCTGGGGCTCAGTCGCCATCTTGGATCCAGCTGCCTTAATCACCACGCCGCAGTCGGCCCTTTCCTAGGCTGGCTTCCACTCCAGCCCCCGCCAGCCACTCGCATCTTTTCCGTCTGTTTCTCTCCTGCAATCTTCTGTGAAGGTGTGTTAGAGAATGTCCCTGCCAGTCAGTGCAAGAAGCTGGTAGGAGATGGGGTGACTCCAGGTTGGGGCACCTGCCCATGGGTACACCCAGTCAGGCCCAGCCTCTCAGGCCAAGATTCCCAGGGGCCGAGTAGAGACAGCAGCCACCTGGTTGGAAGCCTTAGGCCGATGGGCATCGGAGCCTGGGCCATGGCCACTCGTCCTTTCTCGTTCTCAGGTTGGGAGTGTTAAGGGGATGGACTTGGAGTGAAAGCAGCTGTAAGAATTAAGCCTCAGAGGTACCAGCAGATGGTGTAATGGTTATGTCACTGGACTCCCACGTAGTCAACCACAGTTCTAGTATTGGACCCGGTGGCTTAAACTCACGCCAGGCACATGTGCATATGGGCCTAAGATCCTGAGAGGAGAATGGAGGAGAAGGGATTGTGGTGTGGCCACCCCCCTTGGGGGGCGATTTTTCACTTTCTGTCTCTCTGTCTCTCTCTGTCTCTCTCTGTCTCTCCAATAAACACATGCTCCCTGTAGCAAAAGTATCTCTTAAAAAAAAAAAAAAAAAAAAAAGAGCTAACCCTCAGGAAGCAGCATGGGACTTAGGGCACGAGGGAGAGCTGAGGCTACTCCTGTCCTCTCTCTTGGGCTTGCGTCAGACTTGCAGGTGCATCCAGCCTTTTCTGGGCATACCTTCCCTATACTCCCTACTCCCCAGCCCAGGCCTAGCCATCACCTCTCCTGCTTCTGTTTTCTTTCCAGGCTGATAAGAAGGACCCCCAAGGCAACGGCACCGTGGCTGGGTTTGAACTGCTGCTGCAGAAACAGCTCAAGGGCAAACAAATGCAGAAGGAGATGTCTGAATTCATCCGGGAAAGGTAAAGCCTGGGCTGCTCTCAGCTCCAAGGGAGGCAGTGCAGGGCAAGGTTTACGCCCCCATAGGCTGCTTAGCACCCAGGGGAGTGTGGGGCTGCAGACACAGGCTCCTGGGCCCTGGGACGGAACTGGCCAGCAGATGTGTGGCTTTGGTCTGTATAGCGTTTGCAAAGATTTGAACCAACATTTAAAAAAAAATGGTTAGATTTCATATAAAATCCGACATTCTTTAAGAAAGCAGAAGGGTTTGCAGTCACTGGCTGGACCTAAATAGCAGCTACCTCTGTGGAAGAGGTGAAAGGGGCATGGCCTCCCACTTTGCCACAGTCTTCACCACTGCCCCCCCACCCCCACCCCCCAGATTACTTGGCTTCTCTACTTACCTGTTGGCCCTTACCATACCAAAAAGAAGGATGTTATCTTTTTGATTATCTTTGAGCTGAAACTGTGTCCTTGACCAGGCTATACAGAACTCTCTCCCACCCCATCTCTGTCTTCAGGAATTGTAGCCATGGTGTGTCTAAAGAGCTTGAGAACATAGATGTGCCAGCTATTAACTGCTGGGCAGAAAGAGGGAAAACTACATAGAACGAGGAAAGTTCCTTCTCCATCTTCCTCCTCTTCTCTGTCTCGAGTTCTGAGATCGTTAAGCACACACCTACACACCTGCACCTACCTCCCTGACACACACATCTGTATACACACACACACACACACACACACATAGTCACACATCCTTCCAGCTGCAATTCCAGGGCATACTGAAAATATTTATAGTGAATAGCAATATCTTTTTAAAAATATGTCTTTTCTAATTATAACAACAATTACCAAGTTATAAATGCTTTGGTCGTTTAAAGCATCCCATTTCCTTAGGAGGCCCATTTTCTATTTGTATAATCAAAGCTTCCTTTTATGGCCCGTTAAACTGGCAGGAAGTGGAGAGTTTGCATGGCTCGGGTGCACGGAAACAATAGCATAGAACAGGGAACTCGGAGGGTGGCTGTAAAAGCCAAAGCTTGAACACACTTCTGGTTTATGTTTCTATCGCAATGTTATCTAATGTTATCTTTTTTTTTTTTTTTTAAGATTTTTGTTGTAGGGTGCATGTGCTTACCAGAGAGAAAGGGATGGAGACAGAGATGACAGAGATGGGGAAAGTGAGAAATTACCCCCAGGGGGGATGGCCACACCACAATTCCTTCTCCTCCATTCTCCTGGGATGGCCTGCACGCACATGCACCCAGCGTGACTTTCAAACTACCAGGTCCGGTACTCAAACCACGGTTGGCCATGTGGGAGTCCAGTGCCTTAACCACTGTGCACCTGCTGCCCCCCACAACGTTATCTTAAGCGGGGGTGTTTGCCATTCGGAACACTCTGGTCTTCCCAGAGAAAATGCAGATTCTTGTAACTTTTTTCAGTTCATGTTGGGATCTTGGAGGGACCACCTTCCAGAGCCAGAAAGGGGAGAGCCGAGATGCCAGGGGAGTTGCCTGGCTCGGGGACAGATCCTGGCTCAGAGAGGCTGGGCTGGGGCTGAGGGTGGGGGTAAGGCAGGCCAGTTCTGGAGGTGAGGCTGAGGAGGCAGTCGGTGTATACACCCCTAGGCCCGGGGCCTACGGTTGGCACTGAAGAACCAGGGGAGTGCCATATTAGACCTGCTCTCCAGGGCGGTCTCTCAGCACTCCTCTGGACGTGAGACTAGGGGCCCCTGGGGCCTGGGTGGCTGGAGGTGAGGATGAGAACAGAAGGGGAGCAGGAACAAGTCTGAGAGTCTCAATGATGACTCAGGTTGCTGCCTCCACACGTGGTCAGCGGCCTCGCCCCACTGCCACATCCTCTGGGCACCGCTGCCTGGGCTCGGGAAGCAATGCTGCAGCCCGGCATCTCCACGGCTCCCCAGTCTGCCACATGGTGGGCCAGGGCTCTAAGGGCCTCACCTGCTGGCCAGCTCTGGTCGGCATGAGCAGTTTGTCCATCTCGCACTGCGGCTCAGAGGGATGCTTTAGGGGTGAATGCCACCTCTGACAGCTCACCTGACCCAGGGCTGAAGAGTACAACACGCCCCCTGGAGCACCACCTGGGAAGTGTGTCAAGGCTGCCTGCTGGAAGCCACACCCAGTTCCTCTTCCAGGATGGGACAGAATAGAGCTGCAACTCTGGGGCTGCCTGGTTTCCATGGAAATGCAGCCCCTCTCCCCCGGGCTTGGCAGTTCGAGGCACTGGGGCTGGGAGGCCATAGGGAGTTGTGTGCCTGCTTCTTTCCAAGGGGCCGTCTGGGAAGGTCTAAGCCCAGAGGTCCGGGAGAGGAGGAGAGCGCTGGGCATCCCAAGTGGGCCATCGCAAGTCACAATCCTTCACTGAAGGGCTCCGTGTGTCCAGCCCCGTGCTGGGGGCTGTGCAGATGACAGCTGTGATCCTCACAGCCCGAGGGGCCAGGCGGATGTGCCCCATTTAGCAGGGGACGAGATGAAGATACAGGCAGTTTTGTCTGTTCGTTTATTCAGCA